GCAACCTAATGCACAAAGTCCCATGGCTTTATCATGTATACATATGAGGTAAAAGCAAAGGTCAGAATCTAGAACGACAAATTTACCTATGACCTTGAGCTCAATTTCAAGGTCATAAATCAAGAACCTCAAATCAAAAGACCCTAGGTCTTAGTTATGAATGGTTAATGAGTTATATCACCATACGTGTATTTTTAAAAACAAGAGGGGGAGAAAACTCTAATTTAATGTTAGCACATCCTATAAACCAAAATGTATGTGTTACAACATGTCGCAACTAACAATTTAGTAATAATATGTTGTCGATATCTTATACGGTTTTTGAAAAGAAGTGAAAATAAGCCAAAATCAAAATTTAGAATATGACCTTGACCTTTGACCTTGACCAAATTTTCTTATTTTTTGGACCAAGGACCTCAAATCAAAAGACCCTAGGTCTCTATCACTCATGGTTTACCAGTTAGAAATGCATATCACTTATATCAAATGCATAAGGGGAAATAACTCTCATATGGAGAGTCCGGAACGCTTCGGTGAAAACTAAACTCAACATCCTGAAGATATAGCGAGCAATTTGGTAAAATAAATTTGTCGTAATCTTTTTACGGTTGCGAAGGAGTAGTGGCCACAAGAAAAACAGTGTTTGGGGAGATAACTCTTACGACGTAAAGTATTCAGTTAAGCGGTTGTCAATTTCAAAAGCGTATAAACTGTTCGATATCATATACCAAATATCTAAGCGACATCTTATGCAACAACAATACTACGCAAGAAAAAAATTAGGCGGAAGAAAAAAAAAAAAATAATAATAATAAAAATAATCAGAACAAAAGCAATAGGTCTTTCCACGGAAAAGTGGAAAGACCTAATAATCAGAACAAAATCAAGAGGTCTTTCCACGGAAAAGTGGAAAGACCTAATTATTCACATGTCGAAGACAATACGTGTAACATATGGGCATATTACTACAATTTATACTCATTCCTAGTAAATATCTATATATTTACATAAGCCGTTTAAGCACAAAAATCTAACTCTTTAGGTAACTTTCGAATAGAATATTCATATGTTTCTCATAATAATAACTAATTATATACATCTCAAATCTCTTAATGATTTGTCTATTTTATAAATAGATTTGTATACAAAGTCTACAAATTCTGATCAACATAAATATAGCACATAAACAACACTTCACATAAACAGACAATTAATTAGATAAAACTAGACAGCACAGACATTAAAAGTAAACAACATATAACACAATGCTTACCACGTATATGGTACATAGGTCAGTGTACTGGTTTGAAAATACCACAGTGCTGTGTATAGAATATAAGCACTACTGAAGGTAATGAAACATAACAAAATATAACATTCATAAGTCAAATGACGGGATTATTTCACCAATTAAATAAAATACACAACTACATTTAAAATATGTAGTTTCTGTATTATTCAAATACCAAATTAATCTACTTATAACTTTTAATGTAACTTTTAAAGTACTAGAATGTTTTATATTAAAAGGCTTAATATAACTCAGTGTTATTATTCTATGATTTAATTTTTCACTCTTTTATACTCCAAATATTCCTCCATTCAACACACACACTATCCCTTACACAAAGTATTAAAATGACATACTATTAATTTGTTAATTAGAATAGGGTAAATCAATATTTGAACTAGCGAAATACATTTTGAATATTGAAATTTTGATGTAAATAGAATATTCTTTAAAATACAATAATATACATAATGTAGGAATAAAACCACTAATTCATAATCCCATTGTTGCTTTCTATGTTTAATTCTGCAATTTCAATCATTCATAGCTATTTAGTTTCATGTTCAAATAAAGTGACAGCCACTTTACCCTATCCTGACTTGTGCTGAAAAATTCAACGTACCTTTAATTGCATATTTGAGCGCATATTATATGTAGGAACTATTTTATTTAAAATATGTATTACTTTCTTCTGTGTTCTTTCTGTCCGGGCCCAATACGTGGTTCTACATACCTGCACGGAAAAAGTATTAATAATTTTCCGGAGAACAAAGTAAAAATCAAAAATCAAAACAAACACGAAAGGTCAACATACAACAAGACCAGTACAAAGATTATGGTTTTAGGTGACTATAGAAACTCTCAAATTACAATTTTTATAACAGAATATTGAAACCGTGAAGTTATATTACATTTTCCTTTTTTTTCAAAGAAATAACAAACTGCTTGACTCGAATTTTTAATAACATCTGTACCCATAGTTCAATAAATTACACAATCGGGTTTTTGTTACGATTTCAGATGAGTATGACATCACGAACTTTGATCCAACAATTCATTAGCTTTGTCCTAATGAAATTATATATCATAAAACTGAGACAACTCTAAATTACTGTTTTGCCTTGTTTTGTTGTTTGGTGGCTGTTTCGTTCACGTTAAGTTCATATCTCCATTTTAGGAATCCTACCTGCTTAGGACCCGATCAATTTACATAAAAGGCTAAATGGATTTTACCCCGGATTCAATGTACTTTTCTAATTCTTTTGCTCTCAGTTTTTGTACATAGAAAACCTATATTTTGTTTTCTTCAAAAGTTTGAATTATCTTCTAGGAGAATTTAAATATATTTTTCCGTTTGTGTTATGATTTCTGCAAAATGCCCCAACGTTTGATAATAATTTTAGTCTTTTAACATTCGCCAGATGATTTCCTGCTTGTGAAAAGTTTTTTTTAAATGATGAAACTTCATCACAAGCTAGCAGAATAATTAAGACGTACTACAGCTTCCTGCTTTTAATCCAGCTTCGAACCAGCCGAATTCACTACTTAAGCTATCAAAATCAAATTAAAGGACTAAGAATGCTGTAGCTGTTACATATCTGAGGGTTTGAATGATACATTTTTGCATTCTTTAATTCTTTTTGTGCATCTTTTTTTGTCTTACCATTATTATCTATTCTTTGTATTTAACATCTCCATTGTTCTCCATTCTTTTTTGGCTTAATTTTTTATTTTTTTTAGCCCTTTATTCTGTATTATTTGTCCATTATACTTTATTCTTAAAACACCAGCAAGACCCTCATATATGGATCTGTGGGATAAAAGGTTTCTACTATGACTCCATAATCTTCCATTTTATGGAATTTAAGTTGGATCATATGTTAAAGTTACTTTTTCATATTGACGACAAATGAAAAAAGAACAAACATTTGGTTATACAGTACAGTTCCATTTCTAAATCTGTTTAAAAGAAATTGCAGTTAAGCGAACGATAATGGTTCCATCAATTAGAAAAAAACCTTATGCTAGCAATCTCAATCATTGATCCTGAAACAAAAACATATACCGTTATCAGGTACGCTGAAGACAACAATTTTGAAATCAAAAATATTGAACGATTGAGAACATTTAAACCAAACAGTATCAACGGGAGAACCAATCCCGTCAAAGCTCAACCCCCGGATTTAGTAGGCACCATAGTTTTTTTGTAAATAACACACAGACATAGTTCTTTTGTCACAACGAAGTTGATGAAAACTCATCAAAGATACCAGGTTTTTAATTTGGCAAGTTTGTTGTCAAGATATTACTCATTAGTTGCACTCGAATCAGAACAGTAAGAAGGCCAATCAAATGCGAAGTATTCTATAACATTCAATATATTATATAAAAATGTTTTTATCATTTAAATTTCAATGGAAGGTTTAGCTAGCTCTAAAACCAGATTTAACTCAACATTTTCTTCGGAAAATGCCTGTACGAAGTCAGGAATATGAAAGTTATTTTCCAATCGATCCGTTGGTTGATAAAGTCTAAGACTTCTCCTTGTGGAATTTATCTCGGAAATCAGTATTTCTGTTAATGCTTTTTTTCAGATAAATTTCATTTGTGATTATGTATGACAATTTCAACAAACTGCTTTGAATTCAAGAAGACTGTCCTAATATAAGAATTTCGAGGACTACTTTTAGTTTTCAACATGAGATGCATCTCCAACTTTGCCTGTATCTCCTGCATGAATTAATAACGACCAAAACATAATAAGCCTGGTAACTAAGAGATATGGACAAAAGCAAATACATGGAATCCATAACAGAGCACGGTAGTTTTTTACGGCGGCAGTGTAACCATTGAAAAATGTCGACCGCAGCAGACGTGAATCGAGGATTAGTTCTTCCTCTTATCATACCCATTGGAGTACTGTTGGGCAGATAAAGATAAACAAAAACTTAAATTAACACAAACAAACAAACCAAAAAGACCTAAAGTAAAAAAAAATGTAGTCCTTAACATTTGCTGTATTAACATCTTTAAGTGGAAGATTCCAAATGTAAAGAAAGCAGAATAATGTTCAACTGTAAGGATTTTCTCTTCTCTCTTATTATCAACTTTCTTTAATGCTTAGTTATTATTTTTTTTGCAATATGGAAACATTGTTGCTTTCATTTTCTTCATTCTTTACCTGGTTTACAAAGACATTTCATGTTTACATGTTAGAAATACAGAGAATAAAAACTTCTACGATAGAAAATGTTTGGTTGGTAGATATAAAAAAAGGGAATCAGTAACAAAATAAAACACGATAGACGAATATATTGTATTAATAAATTTTGTGTTAAATATACTATGACTATACCATTATATCTATTTCTCATAAAAATTTATTGGAATGGAGATTTTAAAAGTAATTTGTAAATGAACTTCTTTAAATGACTGTTGATAGACGCTAGACCGGCAGTTCTGCTGACATTAAATAACTAGGTAATTAGACCCCGTCTTTAATGTGCTGAAGATGTGTTCTTTTGATTGATAATAATGCTATCATACAAAAGCCATTACAAGAATATACTGTGTTCTTGGAAGGAAATCGGTTATTAATCTAGCAGCAGGGGAAACACACAAAACAGTTGAACTTAGACAATTACTGCATAATTACAAAAAAATGATAAAGATAATAATATAGACATGGTATTACTAAAATCCAGTAAGATCATACGCATAACTTTTTATTGTTCTTTAAAAATCAAAATTATATAAAATATTTCTCAAAACCATTTTAACTACGCATTAAAGTTTATTTAATGTGGAAATCAAGTAAAATATTGGAAGAGACAGAAAATCACTACAAGATGTTAACATTTCGATATCAACTATTTTGTTGGTCATTAATAGAATTAAAACATGCATTTAAATATTAAGATACATCCGCAATGTAGTTTTCTTGATATCATTAATGATATCTTTGAAAAAAACCGTATGCTTTTCTACTCTTCACAAAATACAATGATTTATGAATATGCAGCTTTCTGTTAAAGCGAAACATAGTTAAATGTAAGGAATACAATGGTTTTTTAATGTTTTTTTTACTTAATTAGTAGTCAAATTTCAGTTTTCTAGATTTCATGTATTCATTGACGATGTCATCTGTGACGTTTAGTCGTCTCTTTCTGTGTTCTCCAACAAGCTTCTGGAGAACAGTAGTTAATTCGTGTTTCAGCTCTCCTGTTAACATTTTACCACTTGAATATCTCTGAAACAAAAACAAAAAAAACCCAAGTAAAATATGAAATGAGTTTATACAACTTCAGATCGAATTACAATGGGTTTAAGTAGTGACAGCAGTCAGTGCTTCGGTACTGACATGATTTATAACAACTTTCTTATATTGTCCGTTTATAAATTTATACATTATTTAGAAACTAGGGTTCCAACTCCCTCAGACAAAGTTAACCATAGATTGATTTGGCTATCATTTTAGGTCCTTTTTGGTCATACAGCTTTTCAAGTGTTACTTACAAATCCTTGGCTTTCAAATATTTGGCTTTGAGCGTCCATGATGAAGGTAAATCCAGAAAATCGTTTCGGACACAGAAAATTTATAAAGTGTATTTTTTCCATTTTTATAAGTATAAATGTGAATTATTTTAAATGACATATTAGTAGAACATAATAACTTTTTTTGTGGTTTGATCATCTATTTAGATTTAATGGTCGATTATTGATTTTTCTCCGTCCAGTATAAAATATTTCATATGAGAGTAGTTTACAATAAATCGTATTCGTTCTACAAAGATGGTCGACAGGGATGAAGAAAGGCAAATTTTGACAGCTTCTGGAAACATAAAGTTTCCAATAGTTGCCGGAAATGTTCATAAACGTGCAGAGTCTGCAGCCTAACACGAGGTATTGTAAGTCAACATTTCGTGGGTTTTACTGTCGGATTTGAGAAGTGGAGGTGATTATATTTCTATACCTAATTCAACTCTAGAGTGTTACTTGTGTATAAAAATAGTCAAATTGTTTCATTTTGATCTTTCTAATTTAATAGGAATAAATGCACACTATTTAACTGCAAAAGTGACTCACTTTAACCTTGAAAGAATCTCAATCATTTACGTCGTTACAAAAATATTGCATTAAGAAAAAGACAACAACATATTTGATGGACTTCAACGACATAGCAACTTAACAAAACCAAACAAAAAGACTTCTAGAGGTCAGCATATATATATATATATATATATATATAGGATCTTCAATGGTGGATTATTGGACCACATCGGTTATTAACGTTTACATCTAGGGAAAAATCTTTTTATTTTGCAAAACTTCTAAAATGAATAGATATTTCTACAAGAACATACTTTGAACAAAATGTCAATTGTACTAAAAAGGAACATGCATGCATAAAAAGATAGACAATGAAACCACAATGTTAAATGTAATATAGAGATAATGTCAAATTAAGTTTAAAGAAAACAAGCTTTGGAATTTTTTTGGGAACCTTTTTACGACTTCAAAATATTGTTTGTCCAAGTTTGAGAGAGTTGATCTGGCCAATATCTTTATTTAGTTGTCATTTAAACGGCAAAACATTCATATAAATTAGTCTTATAACAGCTTACGGATTTAATATCGGCTAATTTATCGTCATCATCCATGAAGAATGTCAGATATTGGTAAGACACATCGATGTCACAGTTGCCACCATACTTTCTGTGCTCCTCTTCAGTTGGCTTTCCTCCAGAAAACGCATATTTATTGATCTTTAAATTAAAAACGCAAAATCAGTAATCGATGATGATGGTAAGTTATATGGATTCGCATGGTGGGTGATACATGCAAAGCAGGAGACAATTGCCCCGTAGACGCCCTTGGTTTTGCTCCTTTTGGAGTTCATGCGAATATCTCGATTTTTGTTTGTTATCTTTTTTGTATCGTTTAATGGAGTAATGAGGTTTGAACATTGACAAACCACTAACTGTTGTCTATAGTTAAACAAGATAAACATTGGTAAACACTTCGTAAATGATATACCGTTTACATTCAATTTTCTTTCCCAAATTAAGTATAATATAAATAGATATGGTAATGAATAGAAAATTACAAGTTCTAATAATTTTATTTTAACAGTAACAGAAAACAGACTGTTTAAAGTGATGTGATCGGATAAATATTCAAAAGAAAAGAAAAGTTCAAATGAGGGAACAATAAAGCGTTTCTAGGCTTATGAAAATAACAAATGTTTAATGAAATCATTGATCGCTCTATTAAAACATATACATTAAAGATCAACTGTTTATGTTTAACTACAATTAAGAATAATGAGTAATTCATTTTGCAAAGCTTGGAATCATTGCCGGGTTTTGGGTATACTTTTGATTCTTTTGGGATATATCTTATCTTAAACGTTGTATTTTAAAACATGTTGAACTTGAACATCACTTGAGACACATTTATTGTCTGAATGCGCAGCTGGTGCAGTAAACATTGACACCGTTTTATGTTATAAATGCTTTTTTATGAACAGAATAATAACACTTTTTCCTATGAACGGAAAATACGGTTTAAGTAATGCTTCAGTGTTAAAAGTGTACAAGAATGATTATCTTACCTTTGTTTTAATTTGTTCGTCGGTGTCTGTTAAAAATATAGATGAATTTGGATCACTTGCGCTCATTTTACCATGGGCTCCTTGTAATGCAGGAAAGAAAGTGGAATGAAGCAATGCTGGTTTAAGAAGACCCAGTCGTGGTGCTACATCACGAGTCATGCGGAAATATGGATCCTATGTCGAAAAATATAAAATATAAGCAAAATAATACGTGTAATTATCACCCTAAACTAGTCGAAACTTCATAGAATATTTTCATAATACATAAAAAATGACAACAGGAATTTCACACAGACCAACCAACACCAACAGAATAGACATAAAAACAACAGCAAACATAACGATGTCCAGATAGCCAGACTTCGTAAGGGCACAGAATGTGGTAGGGTTAAACCAGTTTAATGTGTGCACAATACATTTTTGTCAATCTAGAACATATGTCGCAAAGAACCACAGTGCAAAACCTACACATGCCAGCTACACTTAGGATGCCCACTATTTAAAAGAGAACAATAATACAGCCGGGTCAAAATGTCCTTGTAACGATAGAAAGCTTTCTATGGTAGCCACAACTGCTGTTGAATTAAATATTTTTTTAAACCGCCTGACTATTAGTCGAAAGAACCATACAATATATTTATACTTAACTATTGCGGCTTTGTCTATATGCCATTATTTTTTTCTTCGTTGACATATTTGTTTGTTTTTATAGTGATTTAGATTATAACACAATGCTGACTGCTTTACCCCTATTTTTGACATTTTTACCTACTATAGATATAAGAAGATGTGGTATAAGTGCCAATGAGACAACTCTCCATCCAAGTCACAATTTGTAATAAAAGTAAACCATTATAGGTCAAAGTACGGTCTTCAACACGGAGCCTTGGCTAACACCGAACAGCAAGCTATAAAGGGGCTCAAAAATGACAAGTGTAAAACCATATGTCTGTTTGTTTTGTTCACACATTGTTGTCAATATAATGCAATTTTATGCGACTGTAATACAAGTGAGAGGTTTAGCTAGCTATAAAACCTGGTTTAATCCACCGTTTTCTACATAAGGAAATGCCTGTACCAAGTCAGGAATATGACAGTTGTTTTCCTGTCGTTTGATGTGTTTGAGCCTTTGATTTTGCCATTTAATAAGGGACTTTCCGTGTTGAATTTTCCTTGGAGTTCGGTATTTTTGTTATTTTTCTTTTTGCTACCCTCATTATAAAATTTTCAAACATTTCTCATTTTATATTCTCAAGATGAAATGATTAATCATCAGAATATTTTTTTTTAGATATTTATGCTGTTGTTTCAGACAAAAGAAAATAATGAAATTTAAAAATTCGTATTTGATATTGCAGAAGAATTCATTATTATAGCATGGGTATTATGTCCTGCAAAAAGTTTAAAAAAAAATATGAATAGGTGCAATCTAAATCTTAATGTTAAAGTAACAATTTCAGAAAATAAAAAAAAAAGATAATGGATTTCGTATTTTCATTAAAAAAACAAATTTCTACCGTTTTCAAGGGGAAATTTTCTGCCGTAGAAATATATATTTGCATTAAATAGAATATAAACTTATTGAACAACTAACTAAATACAAACATGTAAGTTATTTCACAAAAAGTGTGTTGCAGGTTACACGAAATATATTACCTGATCAATGGCGCACGGAATAAGACAAGGTACGTCTTTCTTTCCTCTGAATATCTGAGGAAACGCAGAACTGAAACTTGGCGTGGCTTGAATGGCAGGAAAACTGATTTTACCAATACTGTCACTATCTGTGAATCCAAAGATTCCCTTCACCTGATTGAACGTGACAAGTTTCTGTATTTTGCACATCATTTTGTAAAATTCTGTGCTCTCTCTACAATACAGTTTTGTGATATATGAAAGGTTTCAATTTATATAATGTACGCAATTGTGTTCAAGTCAAAACACGCATGTGTGTATTGGTAATATCCCCTAGGGGTTAGCCACATCTTTTTCTTTTTCTAGGAAACATTATCATGCCTAAATTTAAAACCCTCCTTATTATATCAAATAAAATTCTGTATTTAAATAGATGATTGTGAATGAAAAAGGTAATGTTGCGCCGATAATGAAACAAATTGTCTATTTGCCGATTCCGTAATTTACCCTGTAACTAGTGATGAACTTTTTGAGTTGTTTCGTGTAGAACGGAACTGAATTTTCATTGACAAAGAAGAGTTAGCGGAAAGACCATATTGTCTGGTCAAGAACCAGTTTACAAGTCGCAATGGGAAACAACCTGTGTTAAAAGTATGGAATAACAGATTCAAATCGGCAATTGGTGTTGACCTTTGGGAGTAATGCAATAATAATAAAAAGCCATATATATATATATACTCTTTAAAATAATCTATAATAATCAATATGTTGAAGATAACCTTGGTATCATAATTCATTCCCATTTTTAAGCATGGCTACTGTAATCTATTTTCTCGGCAATAACGGTAGCATTATCAAGTGTCAAACCTGTTCCAGAAGTTTTATGATCCCATTGATTTTCATATTCTTAAACATCAATTTTTGCGCGAGGGGATTATTCAATACAAGTCGCCATGTCAGATCAAAATTACCCTCGCACCTGATTCAATAAAAATTATTGAAATATGAGAATAACGGTAATTCTGTGCATTGACACACGCGGGAGGAAATCAACAAATGATTAGTGTAATGATGCAGTAGTATGAAAACATCTGACTTTTCTACCCTTTACACTAATTATTCTCATTCTAATCAAAACTTAGAGACAGATTGAAAGAATTAGTCTTAAATTGTTTCCTTAAAAAGAGTAACCAACGTAGACACAAATATCTCTTTTTAGGAAGGGATACATTATACTTTATAAAAAGATACTCTGATTCAATCAACAAAATCTCAGAAACTGACATCATGAAGATACTTCATTTTTTTATTAACAACATACTTGTTACTTTGGGAGTATTATTGCAACAGACAATCGGCATTCACATGGGAACCGACTGTGCCTTTTTTGCCAATTTGACCCTTTATTCATATGAGGCAGACTACATACAGTGTTTCTAAGGAAGAATAGAAAGAAGCTAGCAGTATCCTTTATTTTCAAGTTCCACTATATAAATAATGTCCTCTTACCAAATAATTAAAAATTTGATGACTCTGTTGAACTTAAATTTGAAATAAAGGATACCACTGAAACAGTTTAAGTCTGCCTAATATCTTTACTTACATCTTGAAATTGACAATGAGGGTCGGTTGAGAATAAAACTGTACGACAAATGAGATGATTTCAGCTATGCAATTGTGAACTGTACATTCTATAAAGCAACATTTGATCAGCGCCTGCATATAGAACATATATATCTTCCAGTTCATAAGATATTGCGTTTCCTATCATGATTTCCTTGATAGAGGGTTGCTGCTAATAAGGAAGTTATTCAATCAAGTATTCTTAGTGGTAAAGTTGAAGTCATCACCACGACAGTTTTACGGGCGCCAACATGAGTTGGTTGACTGCTATAAAATATATGTTTCACAGATGACCACGAGTATGTTCCAATTGTCGTAGCCGTTCTACCTTCCTCTTTTTTTCGATTCTGACATCACCGAATGAGAATTAACACCGAATTTATACTTACCATGAGCAACACGACGGCTGCCACATGTGGAGCTGGATATATTTACGCATCTACAGCATATTAACCAGGTTTTTTGTAGGGTTCGTGTTGCTATCTTTATAGCTTTTTATGAAGTGTTTTTTAAACTTGTATTTGTCTTTTCGTCGTTTTTCGTTTTCTTGACATGATTTTGTCGATCTCTCTAAGACTTATATGAGTTTTAATTCTACCTTTGGTATCTTCCGTTTCTTCTTAAGAGTAAGAGTACCTATAAAAGTTTTAAGAAAGAATCACTTGTTTAATGGCACACAACAACATTGATTTTTAACCAATAGCCAAAAGTAGGATAATTACGAAATGTATTCTACATCGCTGAAGATAAATGTCTTGTCCTTGTCAAAGCCACATGCAATGATGTCTTTGGCATTCTCATGGGCAAGTTGGTTTGTTTCTTCAATTGTCAGATCTTTCCAAAGAAATTTCTCATCATCGGTCATTTGGATCACAAGAGGAACATCAAAGGTGTCTTGAAGCCATCTGTAATAATAACAAGGCACACACTATAAGATTAAATCCTAAATTGATTTTTTATTTGCAGAATGAACGTTGAACTGTTTACTTTTAAATTTAGAAAAATAAATAGTATGTGTGATAAATGCATCTAAATAACACATTTAAAAATATCTTGGAAACAAATTGTTGAACAAAAGGAAAATACACAATTAACAGGTTTAAATATAACCTTTTGTCATGTATTACACGAAGCAATATGATACAAAATATTCTTTATCCAATACCAATTTCTTTTAGAAATTCTGTGGAAGATGTGTTCTGTTGAGTGACTTGTAAACTATATCTTTTTTTTCTATAATTAAAGATTCATTTTATTTGGAAAACGTTTGTACCGTTTGAAACATAATTCTTGCTTGGCTTTATCAGATTTTACGTGTCTTGATGCTTGTGTAACATTTAACTTTATACTTTCAAAGCATTGAACCTTAATGGTGGTTACTGCATTCACAGTTACAGTTTCGTTAATCATCTACTATGTCATATCTATTTTAGATCCGTTCTGTTGTATGATTTGAAAGATTTTTCTTTCTGTAATTAAAGATTAATTTGTTTTGGAAACGTTTGAACTGTTTTAAACATAATAATTGTGTGTCTTAATCAGATAAGACGTGTCTTGATGGTTACGTAACATGTAACTTTATACTTTAAAACCATTTAACTTTGATGGTGGTTAGTGCATTTATAATAACTGTTTCGTTAATCATCCTCTATGCCATTTCACATGGCTGTAAATAGTTGAAATGTGATGAAATATATATTAGTAATTAGAAAAGAATGGACTTAACACTCTAATGGACGGATTGTACAAAACATTTCTTAAACAATACAAAAAATGTAAATGTAAAAATGGGGAAAACATCTTTAAACAAATCCATATTATCAGGCGCAGAAATTAAATGTGTGCACACTTTCTGTGAGGTTTCAGGAATCTTCGTTGAGACCTATATGGAATTAATGACACAAAATAGCCATCATCTTTTCCGCTCACCAAAACACCTCAAATCACCATATAATAGAACTTATGGTGAAAATTGCACTGCGTTAAACCAAGTCAAAACAATACAGAAGAATATGACATACTTTGTAAATATGAACGGAATAAGATGACCCAGATGCATAGATTCTGAAGATGGTCCTCTCCCTGTGTACAAATAAAACCCTTTCTTCTTTTCAACTAGGTCAAGTATCTGGTGCATATCTCTGTTAAAAAAAATATATATTATCTCATTTAAGGACAAAACGTTTATTTATGATTTTTTAAAAATTTTCCACTGTTCTTTATTTGATATAAGGTTTAGCACAAACAAAATTGCAGAACTTTGTTTTCTACTAAATTTGATGAGATTGAAATTTTCATTGGTCGCTTTAATTGTTCATTTATTAAAATTAACACAATGATAATATAAAAAAATATGTATCCAATATGTATTTTTAAGCCTAAGTTCCAATGCAATGAACACTAACGCAAATAAAAAAACATCATGGAAATAACCTGTGAGAGAAGAAGATGCCCCTTCGCAGGAAGTGATGAGTCGGTTTCCCTGTTAATTTTACCATTCTGTCTATCAACTCTTTATCAATTTCGGTACTTCCAAACCGTTCTATGGAAGAAAATATTGAATACGTATATTATTTTATCTAATTTGAGCAAACACCTGAACATGTATAACAGCTTATAACTGACGTATATATCTATATTGACTTAATTTTCTTGTTTGGCATTACATTTGTCATTTCCTAAGATTATATCTATATTTATAAAACAGTTTTAAAGAGAATCATTTGTCTTGCTTTTGTTTCTTGATACAATAATCGCATGTTCTTTTGTAAGATATTAACTTTAAATAAGTTGGTTGCATGCCACGTGGTTAAGGTTAACTTCTGATCTCGATCGCACAAGAAACACATTACGTGAACACAGACATCAGTATAAACTTTTAACATACTAAAACAAATATAATAAAACAATTATTGTTGGTAACAATACTTCACAAATTCGCATTAAATGTAATGAAATAAAATATTTTGAATACATGTATATTATACATCAAATAGTTTAATGTGTATTGTAGTAGTTATAATGATTTTCGCAAAGTTTTAAAAATTAATTATTCGACTAAATAATTCAAAAATAATCGAACTAGATTTATTTCGAAATAAAAAAAAAACAAAAAAACAAAAAAAACAAAACCCAAACGTTTCACATAGAATAATTTATTATTTTACACAATATTTGTGAATAGTTAACAGATTAAACTTACTTATTAGTTTACTATAATCTACTCCTTTAGCAGATGAACTAACAACATCCCATGGATTAACAATGTCTTCATCGTCATCAATTGATGATTTTTGAACTTCTTTAGCAACTTTATCCGCTTCAGATGCCATAATCTTCTATAACAAATATTTACATTAAAAACAAAAATTATTGCAAACAATAAAGAGATTTCGAATAAATTTGTTCTAGTACTTAACATGCAACTCCATCAAGTATATATTGATCCTAAACAATTGTAGCCCTTCTGTTTAGAAAGTTTTTGCTGTAAAAATTCCTAAACGGACTTTACATATTTGACTTCTGTAACTGTTATCTTTAGCGTATCTGATGAAGATTAAATCTAAAAATTTGTTGGCCTCATTGAATTTTTCATCATGTTAAGTCCCCTCATGTCAGGTTTTGATATAAGGAAATTTTAAATGTTTGATTGTGGTAGTCAAATATATATGATTGTAACATCAGTAAACTCTTAGATATTTTCTTAAATAATTCATTTTTTGTATACTAAAAACAGTAAGGCAAGATCATAAGCGACAAAACAAAAATTACAGGATATTGAAGTTGTTTTGCACTAGTAAAAATGAATGTTATCTCATTCCAAAGCCCTATTTTACTTCAAAGTTTATTCTTTTTCAGTAGATTATATATATATATGTTACAGTGAATTTGTATAATCAGGGATTATGTAGAATCCCTGATTTTTCAGAGATTATGTAGAATCACCAAAATCATTAGTGATTATATATAATCCCTGAAAATGACCAGTGATTTTACATAATCACTGAACATTAATATAATTATTCTACAAATTCCCTAGTATGATTTCAGGGATTATCAATAATTAAAAGATCCTGTGTTTGATAAAAATTAGATAAATATAACTTGTCATTTGTGTTTTCTTATTCCTTGAAAGTTTAAGTGAACAGTAAGTATTTAAATTGTTTAAGGCCTCCTACCATCTCTTATATTTCATATAGATAACACTCTTTACATCATTACACATTAACATAAGGTTGGGGCTGGTGGGCATGGATCTAAAAAAAAATAACAAAACTTAAATATCTGACGATGATATGCAATTTATTTAATTTCAAGTTCATTATGGTTTTCAAAGATCATTTATATGACAAAAAATGTTCAAACTGTAAATCCACAGTTCATTTTATTTGTAGTAAAACAAATGGTGAGGAAGGTTATGAAACATCTGTGTGTATTTTGTGTTCAAATGAACAAGAAATTCAAACCGAGAGAACTGAAGCAACTAAATGTATAGAAAAATTCGTAAGGGTTCCGCGGAACTCAGTGTCTCGCCTACTTTTGCTGTTGTCTATGTTTTCAGTGTGATAGGAAAATGCACATGATAGATTAGTTTAACAGTTACTGAAATGGTTTATGAATCTAATAAATGTTTTAAAAACTTTAACTGCAGACTGAATGTAAGCTGAAAAAAAAACTAAGTCCATTTATAAGTAATGTACGGATAAACAGGAAATAATTTGTTTTTAAATTTCCTTCTAGATACTAGCTTTTGATCATAAACAAGTTTCTGTCCAAGTTTGGTACAAATCCAGGATAGTTTAAGAAAGTTATTAATTTTTTTTAAATTTTAACCACAGAGTGAATGTAATGTTTGTTTTTTAAAATATTGTGCTTAACATTTTGATATGTTGTGCATAACATTTTAATGTATTCGAGGTTATCATTTTAACATTTTGTGCTTTACATTTTACAATCTATATGTTTATAATGATGTTTTAATATGATTTTAAAGAATGAATTATTTAACTTTTATTCATTTTCTATATAAATGAAACTAATTCTTCATTTCAGTTATTTTGTATAATCCCTGACTTTTTTTCTAGTGATTATACATAATCCCTGAAAATGTTAGTGATTATATATAACCCCTAAACTAACCAGTGATTCTACATAATCCCTGAAAATTTTAGGGATTCTACATAATCACTGATTATACAAATTCACTGTAACATATATACACGTGGGTTCAGACCAAGCATAACCTTCACTAAACACTCGTTAACGCTGGGTGCACATAATTTGTTTGTTTACTCCAATTGCCGCGTTTACTTTAATTACGTTAACGCGGTCAAAATGACAATTGATAATGTCTTCCCGAGGAAACGCACGTTTACTTTGTATCCGTTAAGTCAGTAGTTAACGGGCATTTACTACAGAATTGACACGTTTTATTTTACGTGCAATTGCAAAAGGCTCGTTTGTATGAGTGCCACGTAGTGGGCGACGCATTATGTTTTTGCTTTGGGTTCAAACAGGTGCATTTGGTGTTTTGGTTGTCCCATTTAATTTTAGTTCCTGGGACTGATCAATATAAATGAATAATTGATTCACTGGTAAATCGGGGGTGCAGATGTGCACAAAATATTTATTTTCTCATTTTATTGCTTCAAAACTGTTTGTATTTATCAAATTTTAACCAGAATGAATACAAGCACCGATTTGGAACGTACGCATGCGCAGTCGTTATTTTGATTACAAATAAATTGGTTCAATCAACAGTTAATTTATTTATTCGATTTTAAAGCGTCCAATTAATATATAATAATTTTTTTACGAATTAGTCGCTCATATCATTTGCTTTAGATTGTATCAACTTCGCCGACAGTCGTAATAAGAGATTTGTTGATGTGCAGTAACACGGAAGCTTACTCATGTACCCTCTGATGGTTTAAAAATAGATATCCGTTTTTCCAATCAAATTAATATTAATTTACAACCAGATGTTTTTTAATTGTTTTTATTCAGAATTTCTGGATACACATGACCAAAATTCAAATAATATGTATATAATTTTCAGTGTTATTGTTGGGTCATATTATCAGAAAATCAAATGTTCCGTACCCTCTGATGGTTTAAAAATAGATATCTATTTTTCCAATCAAATGAAAATTAATTTACAACCAGATGGAGTTAATTTGTTTTTATTCAAACGTTTTTGTTTCTTCTTCAAAAATTCTGGATACACATGACTAGAATTTAAATAATATGTATAAATTATTTATTTTGTAAAAATATTTCCTTTCTCTATTGGAACTGAACACGTATACCTAACAACAAAATTATTTTCATTTACCTGTGTTAAAAATAATTGCAAATGGCTGATATTTTTGTTCGAGTATATTGTTTTTCTTAAACATGTTAAATTGTTTAACATTTCATACCGATATAACATGTTAATTTTATTATTCTTCCCTTAGTTTATTTATTTTGTATTTGCATTGTATTATAGGTCAAATTTATTTGTTCATTGTATGTTCATTGGTGTTAATATGTCCTTTGATTGAGTTAAGCTATTTCAGTTGATATTTTATTGTGTGTCTTTCTATGTTGTGATGTTACACTATTGTTTCAGAAAAAGGGTGAAGGTTTCGTACCATTAAAACGTTTAAACCCGCTGCATTTGTTTGCACCTGTCCTAAGTCAGGAATCTGATGTTCAGTAGTTGTCGTTTGTTGATGTGGTTCATAAGTGTTTCTCGTTTCTCGTTTTTTATATAGATTAGACCGTTGGTTTTCCCGTTTGAATGGTTTTACACTAGTAATTTTTTAGGCCCTTTATAGCTTACTGTTCGGTGTGAGCCAAGGCTCCGTGTTGAAGACCGTACTTTGACCTATAATGGTTTACTTTTTTTAAATTTTGACTTGGATGGAGAGTTGTCTCATTGACACTCATACCACATCTTCTTATATCTATATTATTCTCAATGTTTTTGTTGGGGTCATATTATCAGAAAATCAAATGTTCCGTGCCTTAATATCCCTGCGCTATCTAGATATTTTTTGCTGAGAATCTTTTTACTCAAATCTTAATTCTTAGCCAATCATATTAGGGTATATCCATACTTCAAGTTATTCTAAGACTTGAGTAAAGCCCATGCATGATTGTTACAATTCACGGCATGCATTTGTGTTAATGATAACACTATTCTAGATTTCGATTTGTAAACATTATAAATAAACAACATTTTGTTTTCAAAGTTGCCATTAATTTCATAATTTGGGTATTAAACCATAATATTTTTAAAACACTTTCTATCCGATTCTCCGTGGTAAACAGTTTTTACGGTAGATTTAACTTGGCAGAAGATTTGAAATAAAACAGACGACATATAATATGTGTATATAGTATCCGAAAATTTGTTTTCAGACAATACAATCAATTTAAAATAAATGCCAAAGTACATCCATTATTGCACTTAAAATAGTTAGTATTGATCGATTTATATACAAATGTATAATACACGTATGTAGTATCTAATTTGTTTAAAAATCTGTCCATACCTGCAGACCTCAACAATATTTTTTTCAGTAAAAATCTGTCGTCGAAATATATATTCAAAATTAATGTACATTAAACATTTGAAAAGCATCAGATGTAATCGAACTGTAATCGAAGACTATTTTTTTGCTAGAAATTGTGAATTAAGTCGGATAACATCAGTACAAGATGAAAATACAAATAAATTTTTCAATTCATTTTATAACCACAATACTTACTTTAAATATTTCCATCCGATTGTCGTGAATTTTAAGATATTTTTTTTATCCTTCAGTTCCATATGGTTGAAATTTTTTTGAATTTGCAATTTCAGTATCTAACTAAAAATCTATAGTAAACAATAAATGATGAAATTAGTGATTGCTTAACAAAAATGCTGTGTAAAACCATCCACCAATACATGATTTTCAAGGGAAAAAAAAGAAATATTGGAACTTTTAATTGTTGCCGAAAAAAGTTTAAGTTACAGTAGACTAAAAACGAGGGACAATTTGTGTAGAACAATCCAACAAGAGGTACTAAAAGTACTTAATTAAATTGCTAGTTCATGACTTTAAAGAAAAAATAATAAATATTGGTGCGTTTAATTGTTGCCTACAAAAGTTTAAGTAGTCGTAGACATATATAGCTCACAGTTTGTATAAAACAATTTATTCCTAGGTAGCAAAAGTACGGAATAATAATACTGGTATGTGATAGTGAAGAAAAAGAAGGAAACATTGGAACCTTTAATCTTTGCCGACAAAAGTTTAAGTAAACTTAGACTGAATTAGCTCACAATTTGTGTAAAATAATCCATCCTGAGAAACCAAAAGTACATAAATTGTAATGCTGGTACATGTTATTTAAGAAACAGAAGAACAAGTGGCACCTTAAATAGATACGGAAAAAATTTGGCAAATTTTAATTTAAATTGCACACATTCAATGTAAAACAATTCATCATGAGGTATGAAAATTAATGAATTACAATGCCGGTAAATAATTTAAAAGAAAACACAATAAATATAGGCACTTTTAATTATTGCTGACAATGATTAAAGTAATACATTTATATTGCTCAAATTTCATCTGATTGTATGTAAAACAATCCATCCTGAGGTACTTTTAGTACTTCATTATGATCGAGGCATTGCAAGATTTAAGAAAAGGAAGACAAATTTTTCGCTGGTCATGTAATGTGATGGATCAATGTATCAATGTAACAAAATTTTAAAAAAGCGCGGTTTTTCACGTAAACGCACTCTTAACAATAACTATATGCTTCTTCTGCTAACATTGTTTTTGTAAAACAGGGGTACAAAGACAGCTCATTTAAAAGTATAATCAAACAGTTACAACAGACATTTACGTTTACATAAACTTTTGATTCTCTACTTTAACAAGAACCTGGTTTAAAGCTTAACAAAATTAGTTTGATACATTTTGCTATATAAAATACATGACTGTACTGAAAATGAACAACGTACAGATTTGTACATTGTATTTCAGATTGGTGTTTACGTTTGTTTGTCTACAGCTAACACAACATTACTATGCAATGCCTTTTTAACATCAAAATATTTCAATGTGTTTTCTTCATTTAATATGCATTTTCTTATTTTACGAATATAGTAATAATGTCATAAAGACATGTTTTATTATTCATACACATAACCGCTTAATCCGTAAATGAAAAATGGATTGTGGGCAATCTAATTTCGCTGGTCATGTAATGTGATGGATCAATGTATCAAAGTAACAAAAATTTAGAAAGCGCGGTTTTTCACGGAAACGCAAATGTGAACGTGAAAGTAAAAACGCGTTTACTTTTCTTGTTTTTTCAAAGTTTGAAGTTCACAACACACAGTAAAAGTGTCGTTTACATGAAATACACATCAGTTAACGCTGCGTTGAAGTTTTCGTCCGTTTACCCGTCATGCTTGATCTGCACCCAACCCTTATATTTATATTTATATTGATCTCATGAATTTGTTTTGTCGGTTTTACTTTAGTGTTACCGATTACTGAGTAACGGTTTTTTGCAACTATTGTATTGAAAGTAATTCAAGCTGTTTTGGAAAAATATCATTTTAAGAATGATGCAATACTATTATATTTGGACAATACAGAAATGTTCAGGGTATAATTTAAATATAAAATTGAATAAAACCTTTCATTGTAAACGTTACCTGAGATAATTTAAATTGAAACACACCATGGTTTATAATAATTAAAGAAAAGGCGTTAACTTTATAAAAGCTGCAAATGGTTATTTTTTTGGATCAATAATAAGGTACTTGTCAATTTGCCAGTTGATCAATATGACTAATAACTGAATTGTCCTTCAGTGCAAGCCATATTTCGAAACTTGGTCCTAAATGTGATCACATGCCAATTTCAAAAAGAAAAAAAAACAACTATTACATGCAACACAAATGATAAATAAAACCATTTGTTTTGCTTCTTTCAAAATAAAAATACATAGAGAATATAAAGGTGATTACACTGGCTGAAAAGCAACAATTAAATCATTGTAAATACGCATGGTTTAGTTGAATATAAATAAGTCGGTTATATTTGTTTACTGAAACTAAGCACTTATGTTATGAATATAATCATTGAACTCTTCTTGCAATGCAGGAGATATTTCAAAACCTAATCTTTACATGAGATCAAATTTAAAAAAATAAAGATAGATTATTTGGATGTTTTCAAAATGTGAATATATATTGAGATATTTTAATGCTGATTAAGCTGGCCAATTATCAATGATTTAAAAGGATCCATTTTAAATACGCATGTTTTACATACACATTTATAAGTCGGTGATATTTTGTATATTAGAAACTAGGCAATTTTTCTATTAATGCAGATCAGAAGCCCAATATTTGTCACTATACTAGTTGAAGATTTGTCATGTATATAACCATGAAATTGTTCTTGTAATGCAGGAGATATTTCAAAATCCTATTCTTACATTAGATCAAATATCAATATTATAAAGATAAAGATATTATTCTATAAAATGCAGGCCATATACATAAGCAATTATTTCTGTGTAAACTACACATATGTAGTTTCTAATTAGTTAAACCTATCCAAACCTGCAGACCACACCAATTATTATTTGTTCGTTTTTTTTTAAATCTGTTGTCGAAATATATACCCAAAATCAATGTACATTACGCATATGAAATGAATCAAATGTAATCGAACTGTATTTTAAGACTAATTTTATGCTAAAAATTGTTAAGTAAATCGGAGATTTATAAGATGGACATACAAATTAATTTTCAATTTATTTTATAACCACAATACTTTATTCAAATATTTCCATTCGATTATCGAAAATTTTACTAGTTCAGCATGAGGGTACATGTTATTTAAGAATAGAGGAATTATTGGCACATTTCAATGTTTGAAGTTAACGCACAGTAAAAGTGCCGTTTACATGAAGTGCACATCGGATAAATCATTTAAACATTGCATTACATTTTTCGTCCGTTTTCTTGTGATGATTGGTCTGCAAAAAATTAAAGACTTAATAACAAGAATACCACATCAAAATGTGGTAGCTCGCTTGTGCTCCAGAATGATACGCAGATCCTGTTCCCCTAGTATAACGCGTTGTGTGACTCATGGTACGAAAAAATAAGATGAAAAGCGACATTCAGTATTGTCACACTATAGGAAAGAGGACAAAATTGTGGCTACAACAATTGAAAATATCATTGGTCGTCTGTGACACAGATATTCATCAACGGTAAAAAAAAATTATGATAGTGTCCTTGAATAAAGGCAACAGTAATTTAACGATGTTCCAAGGATACACATACCCAAAAAGAACACTTATGAACCTGATTTAATTGGCCGATGATCAACAATTCATAAAACAGTCTTCCGGCACCGTTCAACATTGCCAGGTTCAGCACAACGTTTTGGAAATATTTTGGTTTTCAATGCTCTTTAATTTTTTTAATACATTTGGCCTTCGACCTGTTAAAATGTGCGCCGCTGATCAGTCTTGCGAACATTAAACGCGCGTTTTGCTAACTATCGTTAATGGTACCTTTTGAGGTATCTTTGTTAATGTTTTAGTATCAGAGGTGTGATAACTCTGCTGATGGACGTTTAGAACCCGAGGATAACTCCGGTGCTGAAATATCAATAACGCAGTAATTTTCTTGATAAGTAATTGTAAAAAAAAATACTAAGGTTATTTATTACCTCTATGTTGAGATGGTCGTAGCTATTAATGGGAAAACGTTTTGGAATATTTCAGTTTTAAATGCTTTGTCATCTTTGTAATTAATTTTACATTCCTTCTTATTAATTCCAGAAATCTAATATTGATGAAACGCGAGTCTAATATTATTAGTTACATAGCACACAATGTAACGAATTAATCTCACCGACTATCTTAACGTGTGAAATTTAGACTAGTGACATATCAAAATGAGCAAGTCTTCAATACCGTTAGCATTAAGAAACTACTTCCATTGATCCTACAAAAACAGATGCCAACAATAACAACTTGTTAGGTTTAAATGTGTTTTATGAATTTATTTTAATCTTCATCATCAATTTCTTCGTCTGTTGAAACCTTTAAGATTTTTTCTCAGTACGGTTTTGTTTTTATAAAGGGTCGTAACACCACTACTAACCGTGTATGAAATAAGCCCCGCCTCCCTACTAACCTAATATGGAATATACACGGTCTCCACGCGGACGCTTTCAACCAATCATATTCCTAGAAATATATAAGAGGTAAGATAATATAAGTTACATAGTGTGCTATTGACCTAATACGATATATATGGGGTCAGTAAATTCCATATGTGGTGAAAGCGACGCTCGAATCCCCATATGGAATTTACTGACCCCATATATATCGTATTAAGTCACTAGCACACTGTGTAACGAATTCATCTTATCGACTATCTTAAAATGTGGCATTTCGACAAAGCCCTATCAAAATTATCAAGTCTTCAATATAAACTTCCGTTGGTCTATACAAAAACAAATGCCAACAGTAACAACTTGTTAGCTTTAATATGTGTTTTCTGCAGTTATTTCAATCTTCCATCATCAATTTCTTCATCTGTTGTCCGGGTGAAACGTTTCAGTTTTTTCCTCGACGCCGTGTTGTTTTTATGAAGGGACGTAACACCACTACTAACAGTGCATTAAAAAGAAACCACGCCTACTAACCCCATATGAAATATACATGGTCTCCACGTGCACGCGGTCGCTTTTAACCAATGATATTCCTAGAAATGTATAGGAGGTAAGATAAACTGAATCATGACTCTGGAATTTTTGGTGACGTTTTATATAGCTTTTCTTCTTTTTTTTTATCCTAGAAGCTCAATTTTTCCTGAACAATACAAAATGTGACTTGAATGAGAAAAGGACGTTATTGTTTTAACTAGATATGTATCGTAACAACATCTGAATAAATGTAACATAACGGATTTTTTGGAATGTGATGTATTATTGGTTTGTAATCTGAAATTATCTTTCTTGAATCTTTGTCAAATATAAGAATAAAATGAAATGTAAGGTAGGCGTTTATAAGATAGCAACCGAACAACACAGAAAAACCAAAAGATGAGGTAAACATACTGTCATGAAGAATAGAAAGCTGCCTTCAAAATTTGTCAAGCTCTAACTAACCCCTTAACTATAATTGTTTTGTGTGAATAAATTGACAAAACTATAGACGTCTGTTATATACACGAATTTTCAAAGATGGTTAATTCATTACATGATTTGTTTACTCTTTGTTGAGTGCATTTTGTTAAGCAAACGCTTTTTGGCTTTATGATATGAACAACGACATGAGTAACAAACACTTTTCCATATCATTTCAAAACCGTTTGATTTGTTTTTGTCGTTTTTACAGCCCAAATTTTGTAATAATTCATATAATATTGGTCAGTTACTCAATACTCTCAAGTTGTTTGATAACTATATAAGAATCAGTTATTTCACATGTTCTTTTGAAAGACTAACTAGCATAAATTTGAATGCAATTTCTCAATAACAATAGAAAGACGATTACAAAATAACTAATAGTATCACTCTTCTTTTTTATACTTGAAGCATAACAATTTTAGTTTATGTATTGTTGATGCACGATTGGAGTGCAATATGAAATTGAAGAAAATCAAGCAAAATGTATAATCATCCATTACATATTCTCAAACTATTACGATTTACATAACAGAAAGTAATCAAAGATATACCATATATATAGGAAATATGATTTTTGTTGTTTTCAATTCTCACGACAGCCATTCTCAATATATAAATTAAGAGATGAAACCTCTTATTAACAAGTTTAGATCAGAGCATATTAGTACACGTACGAATGTACAAATTTAAATTTTCCACGTAAGATTGCCATGTATGTGATATTTTGCCTTAATCAATACAAAGACATATAACCTTACCCTGTGACCCTTTAAAACATCAGATAAATTAATTTTGAAATAATATCTTAGCAAATGTACACTTAGTTTAATAGTATATTTCAGTTAATATATTATTCATTCTTAAATTGACATTAATAGTAAGGAAATTCAGTGAGATCAGTAAAATAAGTGATGTAAATTTAAATGTGTATATAAAGTTTAAAATAATTTCAGACAAAGCAAAGATATGCTATAGTCGTCATATCACAGTCCAAACCACCAAACAGATATGAAATAAATCTAAACAGACTTACCAGTAGTCTCTACGAGGTTGTCAATCTCAAAATGACAAAAAGAACAAAATATAGACTACAGTGAAGTTCTGGATTTCAGAAAACGATTTTACAGGTAATTCTTCGAAAAGATTTTAAAAATAGACACTTAACCATAATAACTTTAAGACTCAACACATTTCTGTACATAAATGGTATGATATGCTTACATACATTTGCTGTCTCTATCAGGTGACCGTATAAAAGAAGAAAACTTGCTAAAATTCGTATAATTTAAAACTGAACTGCAGCTTTGTGTAACACTGTTATATTATTAATTTTACATAAACCTATGTACGAAATAAGCAATTGCAGAACAAGGTAAGTTCTATGGCTAAAACCAATTATTTCAATTGAGGAAAACAAATGGTTTTATTTAACGAAATATAAGTTGAAACAATTGATTAGTTTCCGATGATATCAGTTATGCAAGTCAAAAAGAAATATATTTCTAAATTAGGATAATCTTTTTAAGGCATGGACGGAGCATCACAAACGACTGCTGGTGGAAATGCGTCTGTTGGAACATTAGAACATGAAAAGGCAAAGTCATATGAGAACTATCTTCAAGTAAGCCTATTTTATTTACTTATAATGGAATGGTGAAATTATTTTTTTCACTTGTACGCAAATTATCTATAATAATTTAATTTAACCACTGGAATTTTTTTTTTAAATCAACGAATTCGTCAGGACTATAGTTATCTCTAACATTTTTCTGATTAATTATAGTGTATATCATTATCTAAATTGTAGCTAAACAAAGTTTTAGACGGTGTAAGACGATTGAGTGTAGTGAACGGCGATCCTGCTCACGATGAGCATCTCTTTATTGTCATTCATCAAGGTATGTGTACACTATTTCAATGCTTTCACTTTTAATGTAAAAATATCTTGACAAGAGATGATGATAAGTTGAAAGAGGACAAATTGTTTTATTTCGTCATGTTAAGGATTTCATAATGAAAACACAACGGACATTCTAAACTGAATTGTCCAGATTATCTCAATTAATTTATTTTTCAATAAACACTTTTTTAAAACAATTGTAAGAATTCGTTATTTCTGCAATTTTAAGGGCTATTTAATAGTAATATGCAAAAACTCATCAAAGATACCAGGATTATAATTTTCTACACCAGACGCGCGTTTGGTCTACAAAAGACCGTGACGCTCGAATATAACAGTTAAAAGGTCAAATGAAGTACGAAATTGAAGAACCTCATACCTTTGTACAGAGTACAATCCAACAATTTCAAAGGATAAATAATCACCACGTCACGTATCCCTTTTTAACACTTTAGTAGCTCTCCATCATTACATTTTAAAAAATAATTTTATTTTCAATTGATAGCGCTTTAATGTTGCATACATATAGATGATCAAAATTGATTGTGATTAAATATTTTCGAGTGTTAGCTTGTCTGGTAGACAATTTCATTTTTTTTTTTAATTTCAATAAATTAGATTCAGCAATTATTGCGAGGTTTTCATCAATGCGAATAATGCGACTGGGTGGGTATCGTAATAATAAGAACTAGCATTTTGATATCTGATACATTTATCTGTATGCAGATTTTCCAGAAATCGCAATAATTGATCCCGCATGTTTGTCCATTCTTCAAAAATAGCAATATAAATGCACGTATTAATATCTGAATTTACAGTATACCGCGCGAAACGCAAAATGCGCGTCTGGCTAATAAAATTTTAATCCTGGTACATATAATGAGTTTATTTAAACCTGCATCATGCGTTTGCAGTATATATACGTAACATATTTTTTTTTGCTTTTTATAACTGTAGTGGTTTTGGAGATATGATGTTTAATTCTAATATCTACCTCCAACCGACAAATCACATTCACGTGTGTGTTACGCCACAGTACAGATTAATAAAATCCACATACTAGTATATACTTGATTGGGTCTTGATGTTTAACGAAACTTTCAGCACTCTTGGCTATATCTTTTCGGCTAATTTTTATCGGTGGAGGAAGCAAGAGTGCAAGAAGAGAACCAGCGACCTGCGGCAGGAACACTTGCAATCCGAGTCAATTAAGATCGTAGTCGAACTGAACTGCTCAGAGCGGGGGTTTGGGGAGGGGGAGGGGTAAATTCACATATTATCAATGGGTTTATATAACTAGTCAAAGAGTCAAACATTTCATTGATGTAATTCCAAAATCTTGATTGTCATAAAAAACAGAACAAAACAAGCATTACTTATTATTATCATATATATACATAGATATAAGAAGATGTGGTATGAGTGCCTCTGAGACAACTCTCCATCCAAGTCAAAATTTATAAAAGTATACATGCATATTCAAGGTGAATGTTTTATAATCATTATGATGGTTGTTGTACCTAGTTTGCTTAGTATCTATTTCTGCATAAAACTGATAAAACAATTATATATACTTGTGTTAGTATATTATTGTGTCAAACGTTGAAAACTAGAACACCTTTTGATATATCTGTAAAACAAACGTATAGTAAGAAAATGGAAAATGCGATTCCCTTCTTTGATGTGCTTCCCCATTATGCATAATTGTTAAAATCATCCGCCTAAAGATCTCCAATACTATCTGCCGACTATATGCGTTGGTCGCTTAGGCATTTATTTTTTTCTTTGATTGCTTGTTTATCTATTTTGAGAGATATTTAATTGAAACTGAAAATTCATATTCCCAATACAAATATATATATATATACGAAAAATTATATGGAATGATTTCTGTCAAATATATATTGGTTTAAACATTGTATCAACACAGATTAAAAACCCGAAGGGTTTTGTTAAAAAAACACTAAGTCAGACTGATAACAGAGGTTTATTGGTTGAGAGCATCTGATTGGTTACTTTATTGTTGTGAAATCAAGAAATTAGTAAATACGTATTAATGAATATTTCACATCTCCTTTAAGTCGTTCATTGAAATTAAGCATCGCTTAAAATATGTTAAAATACTGCTTTTATCGTCTGCGCCGCCTTTCTTCTTCTTATTTTCCCCATTCAGATTTGTATTGTCTTCTGTTCTTAAACTTCTGCTATCTAGGTAGGGATAGCTAGGAACCATTCAACCTAGCCCAAACCCTCCCCCAAAGATCCCCTTGTAAATCATTATTGATCGAAAATAGATGATTTGGATATCTCCGTTTTTCAATTCATTTGTTGCTGAAGATTATCTTACTAAGTATGAATATTTATAACCTAAGAAAAAAAACATGCTTGGTGTAGCCATATGTTTTCATGTACGTTACAACAGTAGTAGCAGTGAGCGACTGGATAAAATGTCGAATAATCCCCTGCGCGTTTTTATACATTGTAGGAGTTTCGACTATTTATAGATAAGTGTTCAATACTGTTATCTTATGTGCCGATATGCATGTTTGATAACAAAAACACACTCTACGGGACTGAAAGATACTTACTAGGTTTCGAATTGACCCAAACAATCAACTGCTTTAACTGCTAGTATGCTAGTATGGAGTCATTAATATCTTCAAATCTGGTAGTAGAAAAGCATTCAGTCCGATGACTGTGCTTCATTCAACTTCTACTACCGTCTCCGGGTAGACGGTAATCATTGATAAGAGTTGCAAACATCATGCACGTTCTACAGTTGAACTCTGCAAGCTAAGTCACTCGGTTGTTGACCACAGTTTACTTGAGAATGCAGACACAAACTTTAAGGGGGGATGTACTGCTTACAGTCGACAATAAGAGAGCTTGTGAGGAAGAACGATATGATGTACTAGAAATCTAACTTTACTTAGATGACATATAAAACATACCAATATCAACAATAATAAAATGGTCAAATGGCTTTAAAGAAAGGGAGATTTCTGAGATAACAACTTGCTATATTCAATCGGAGTTTATATAAAAATTCCCAATCATTGCAGAGATGGAATAAATTCAATATTGAAATTATCTTTAAACATTTAAATATTTCGAAGAAAAAGTTAAGAAAGCAGTAACTTGTACTAGTATGTGGGTTAGGGAGTTTTTTTTTTATAATATAAAGATATTGTTCACTTACATTAGCCTTGAGGTATTCATCATGTTTTTGTAGAACCAACAAATGCAATTCGATCCACTTTGCGAGGGATAGAATTGAAGACGAATTCCATTTCCTCATTATATGTAAAGCTTTAAAATTTATCAGCGACACCCGTTTTCAGATATGTAGAGCCCTTTTTAAATTAGGACGGGGGAGAATACTTTCTTTTATAGGATCAAAAAGGTTCTATTATTCGGAGGGGTGCACACTAGACGTAAATTTATTGAAATATATTCTTATCATGATATATGGAAAGATTACAGTGTTTTCAGATGATATTTTTGATAAGTCTCATAGGGTTTACATAATGAATAGGCGAAAGATACCAAAGCGATAATCCAAGTCGAATACGAACTGGCAATGCCATGGCAAAATAATTTGTATACCTTAAACATTCAAGTTTCTCACCATGTAACGCTTATTCTAACAATAGATTTCTTTACTATTTTTTTTCAACTGATATATGTTGTATCGTATATCGGGGTTTTTCGCGTCGGCTTTTTTTCGCGATTTGATGACAAAATAGGCATGTTAAATTTTCACTGTGTATAATTTTCGCTGAATGGGAAAATGCACGCGAAAAAATAACTGTATCGTATTGTTAAAGTTGTAAACAACATAAGCTAAACTAACTAACAGATAATCGATATCAAATATGAGTACTACAAACGAAAATGCACAGTCAAGGAACGTAAAATATTTACATTTAAGTATGATAAAAGTTGAAGGTTTTGATCATTACAGGTGTACAAATATCCGTGTAAATGTGATTTATTTTAATTTTACATTACATGCAAAATGTTCGGGTTATGACACCAATCAATAGAACGTCGCTAATTAACATTTTTTAACATGTCACTGATTGCTGTGTTGTCAAAAGGTGTGCCATGTATGATTTGCCAATGAATTATTATGAAAACAGTGATCTTAATTAAAGATGCATGTTCTTGTGATCTGTCGAACAACACAAAAGACTCGATAATTAAATCATTCAAACAACCATAAATCTTGGAATATACAGGGAAATTTACGCGGGGTCAAATTTTCGCGTTTCTTTAGGTGCCGCAAACGAAGCAAAAATTAAACACACGCGAAAATAACCCCGATAAACGGTATATGGACTGCAATCAGCCTGAAAGATTTACTGAGTGATATAGTATATTTTACAGACAATTATATAAACGTAATGAATTGGTCCTTATTTAGGAATTGAGAAAAACACATGACACCTTCCAAAAGGATATGGAAGTGACACCTAATCATTCATGCCTCAGAGTATTAGTAATATCAAGAAATTTTATTACAATTACTAGGAAAATTATCAGGTGCATGACATGATTTAGGGAAACATCCTTCGATATCCTTTCATTGTTTATTTATGTACAATTATTATGATTGGTACCGTTTATGTTATTAGTAACCTACGGTATAAAATCAAGTGATAAGATTGCCTTTACACTGACCAAAAAATTGCAAAGATATGGGACAAAACAGGTTCGGCATCACAAATTTAATATTTGAAATACTTCTTTGTTTATTTATGATTATTCAGGAATTTTATCTATATTGACAGTATTGCGGGAAACATGAGTTATCTCTCTTGGTGTGTAAGTTCAGAATGACCCTTCTCGTCCTTCGTAGTTCAATTCTTCTATTTCATTAAATAATTAGCTCACCTGGCTCAAAGGGCCAAGAGAGCTTTTCTCAACACTTGGCGTCTGTCGTCCGTCGTCGTCTTTTCCTCTGAAACTACTGGGCCAAATTCAACCGAACTTTGA